TGTGTGTATGTATATATTTACATACAAACACTTATATTTATATAAGTGTTTGTAATTTATATACACACACACATTTATTTTATTTTTTAGTTCGTTTTAGTTTTCATTTTATGACTTCCAGGTTCCTGGGTTCTTCCCCTCAATCACAAAAAATACTGGAAATGTGCTGAAAAATTCAGTGATCAGAAGATATGGGAACCCTATAAATAATTAAAATGGATAGTCATGGATAGCATGTCAAATCTGGGTTTAGTCATGGATAACTAATCTAGGTTTTTCAGTACAATATAACCATTACTGTATTAGGAAGATACTGAAATTAGATTTTATACCGAAATGAGAGACTATAAATACTTTTTTCTATAAACCATAATGGTTTCTGCAAAAATATACAGTCCAGTCATGCCAGCAGTTTTCCGTATTCTACATGTCAAACTAGTAAAACCACTTTGCAGTTTGTTAGCCTTTGGTTCAAAATAAATGTGTGAATCACCTATAATGTTTCCTCCTTTGAGAGTTTTTAGACCTTTCTAAATCAAAGTCAAATGCTTCAACCTCATCCAGCAAATATTCCTGTTCACACTCTTTTCTTGTATTCAGGTGGACCAATTCATGTCACTTTCCCCTCTGGGCTTACACTTGCTGAGGTGGAGAGGAAGAATCCACTTGTTGTTCGTGGAGGGCGCTATAGGCCGCCAAACTGTGAGGCTCGCCATCGCACTGCAATTATCATTCCCCACAGAAATAGGGAACACCACCTCAAGGTCCTCCTCTACTATCTGCATCCCTTCCTACAGCGTCAGCAGCTCAACTATGGCATCTATGTCATTCACCAGGTGCGTCTGCAGCCTGTTATTGTTGTGATTTAATTTGGTGATTCAGAAATCACTTGAAATCTTTTTCTGAAAAATATGTGCAGTTTATAAATATTTCTCGCTGGTCAAGGAATTGTATTTTGACTCCCAGTAGACAGTCTCTCAGTGAAATGACAGCAAATGTTGAAAAGTTTGTTCTTCATAATAATATTGCCACCTATAGTAGAGATGACAATGAAATAATAAAAAAAACAACTTTCTAGTTAAGCTGCAATTGGTACATTTTCCAAGAAAAATGGTAAATCACGTTTTTCGTCGAAGGTTTGTATTTTTGTCATTTGATTCGCTCGTGTCAATAAAGGTCAGACTATCATTCTTACATTTAAACCCTAGATTAATCCATACATTGTCTATTTTATTTGGTTGCCAAAGCGTTTTATTCTCAGTTGGCACCTTGTGAGTGTGCTCTCCCCTCCAATCTCTCATTTTAGTGAAAAAAAATTATCCTAATACAACAGTGTGCCAGATTCAGACCTGTTTTCCTGGGCTATATTGTCTGAGATTCAGACCTGTTTTCCTGGGCTATATTGTCTGGTTTTTATTATTGTTGGTTTCCTGGGTCAATACAGTTTTATGTAGGATTATAGATGTACGATATTTCTGCAGAGTTTTGAGTTGCATTGTTTTTGCTCCGATTAGTTTTTGCTGAATTGTTAAACTCAGTGAGATCCTACTTTTATTTGGTTATAGTTTTTATGCTGTTGTAATTATTCAATAAAAATGTTTATACATGATTATACTATTATTCAGTAAGGATTCATTAAATTGATCAAAAGTAAAGTTAACTAGACTGTGTAAAAGCCTTGCATTTTTAACAATTTTTCACACAAATGCTGTTCTAAACGATGGATTACCATAAAAAGAAAATCATCTTCTTGCTGATGTTCCTGACTTTGATATTCCCACTTCACGTCAACAGGCCAAGGATTAGACTGTAATCCTTATTAATCTGCTCTCTGAAAATCCTGAACATTATAGATTCAGCCCATTTTTATGAGTATAAATGTATATACAGGCTGCACGGCTGAGTTTGCATGCTTTGTTTTATCAGTATTTGTGTAACTGGATTTATATGGACTCATTTGTTTTTTTACAGACACTAAATAATAGCTTAAATCTGTGCGCTCCGTTCTTACCATTATGAATAGTTCAATAACAATACCGGTCTGTGTGTGAAGGCTGGTAATTACACCTTTAACCGAGCAAAGCTGATGAACGTGGGATTCCGTGAAGCCATGAGGGACGAGGACTGGGACTGCCTCTTCTTTCATGACGTGGACCTCATTCCAGAGGACGACCGCAACACCTATGTCTGCGACACTCATCCCAAGCACGCTGCCATTGCCATGGACAAATTTGGCTACAAGTCAGTGTTCTTCACGCTCTCTAGCTGCATTTCATTTGACTTCATGCCTGCATTTCACACCTGCACACAGATTATGCAAATATACATGATTTACTGTCAGAACAATTTACAATCTATGTA